GTTAAAGAAAGTTATTTTATTTGCGAAGAAGCCGAAAAAACTAACTTTTTTAAAATAAAAACAAAAGTTGTTCTAAATCTTTATTCATATTGTCAAAGATATTTCCAAGTATGAACAAACACTAATATCATGCAATATCAATAACTCTAAATTTATGACCAAGGTCCGCTAAACATACTCCATCTCTCTATTTTATAATTTTATATTTATATTTAAATTAAACGAAATTTAAAGTAGTTAAAGTTTCTCGTAATAAATATTTCAAATCTATTTAAGTAATAATGATTTAAGAGTGGATCTTTGTTAAAGAAAGTTATTTTATTTGCGAAGAAGCCGAAAAAACTAACTTTTTTAAAATAAAAATAAAAGTTGTTCTAAATCTTTATTCATATTGTCAAAGATATTTCCAAGTATGAACAAATACTAATATCATGCAATATCAATAACTCTAAATTTATGACCAAGGTCCGGTAAACATACTCCATCTCTCTATTTTATAATTTTATATTAATATTTGAATTAAATGAAATTTAAAGTAGTTAAAGTTTCTCGTAATAAATATTTCAAATCTATTTAAGTAATAATGATTTAAGAGTGGATCTTTGCTTAAATTTTTTTTTTATTTGACGCTCAAAATCACTTATTTTAAAAAGATTGGCCAAACAAAATTATTTCTATAATATTAACAAAAGTATTTCTCGAATGTTTTGATCAAACACAATATGCTACTATCTAAAAATATTTTGTTTTGAAGTTTCATTTGACAATAATCGTTTTCAAAATAAATAAATTTGAAAACTAGGCCGCACATGCACTCTAAAAGAAATTTACTTCATTAATTTTCTAACATAATAACAATTAAGCGAAATAAATACTAAATAATTGAATAATCATAAAACCTCTTTTCTTCAAACCTTTCCACCTCAAATAGTCTGTTCTTTTTCCTTTCCTAGCTCCATTATTCATTTCTTTTCAAGATTGCTATTCTCATTTTGTTTGTTTCCTCTTTCTTTTTTATAATCTCTAGGACTCGGTACGTAGCAGATCGAAAGTTTCAAATAAATAAATCAAATTTTCGTAAAGTCGATAAAGAGTAGATCGACAAATTTCGAGGGCTTTCTCTTTCATTTCTCTTCTTTTCTTCCTCTTCTTCTTCTTCTTCTTCTTCTTTCCCGCAAGGAAAAAAAAGAAAAGAAAAGCAAAGGGCTTTTGTGGGTTGCGGAAAAAATATTCACAAAATCTATTCAAGAAATATATTGGAAAAAAGGTTCTTATTTCTTGAAGTTGAAATTTTGAGTTGTAGAAAATGAGTTCTTCGGATCTGGTAGCAGCGAGCGCACAGGGTAATCTGGATGAGCAGATTTCTCAGCTAATGCAGTGCAAGCCTCTCTCTGAGCCTGATGTATTTACTTCTATCTTTTCTTTATTTACACATTTTTTCATTTCTGGATCTGAGATGATATTTATTTTCTTTATATCCTCTTGCTGTTTGTTTTAAGAAAAAGAAATCTTTTCTAGGATCAATATTATTTATAAAGGATTAATATAACGTATTTGCTGATACTTCAGAATATAGATTGGATTCTTGAGATTTCTTTATATACTCATTGAACTCTGAACTTGTTGTGAGTCATTTAATGTTAAATATTCTTTTTAAAAATCAACTTTTTGGCAAATTCTGAGTTGAGTTTGTAAAGGAAGCAAATTCTTTTCTGTAAAAATGATATATATGTTCTGTTTTTTGGCAATGTAATAATTTTTATTACATTTGAGTAATAGTTGTCTATTCCTTTGATGTTTGGCAAAGCACTGTCCGAAGTTTCACAAAGGGTAGAAGTTTCAAATCTTTTTTGTTGATTTAGTCCACTCGTGAGTGTTGTTTAGTTTCTCAAGTTGCCAGAGTTCTGCTTGCTATATTCTAATATTCTCTTTCGGGGAGCTTGCAGTTATTCCAGTGTGGAATTTCTGTAATAAGCTCGTGATATTAGACTGACCATGAAGCTCAATTGATTGCAAATTATCTCTTTGGATATGATGTTTCATGCATTGTTTCTTTATTTTCTATTCGGTGTTAGTGTATGTCAGCAGAATGAAAAAGGTATTCACAGCTAATCTCTCGTGTGCTCTGATTTAGGTTAGAGCATTATGCGAGAAGGCCAAAGAGATACTAATGGAAGAAAGTAATGTTCAGGTATAAACTTTTACATGCTCAAAAATTTTCTGTTGCTTTGTACTGAGTGTTCGAAAATTACTACCAAGATGTAGGCTCTTCTCACTGCTCTTATCCCCGTCTTTTTGAAAAGTTATATCTATTTTGGTTATATGGCAGTTACAGTTCAGTACAAATAGATGCACTTTTTTGTCTTTTACCAGTTATAAAAAGTCCCACGGTTTGTGCTCGCTTTTCTCCTTTTTGCCTTCTTTTATTTCAAGATCTAAGTGATGACTAGTTATTTTTCCCCTTGTGACAAGAGTATTCTTACCGCATATCTGTATGATGCACTGATCTGCTTATATTAGCTATAAATTTATGTCTTCCGATTTCATGAGATTATGTATTTACTCTTTGGCCTGAATTTGATTTGTTCTTATTTACGATAGACCCTTGTGGTCCGGCCCTTTCCCGGACCCCGCGCATAGCGGGGGCTTAGTGCACCGGGCTGCTGCCCTCTTTGGCCTGATTTTGATTTGTTCTTATTTTTTGTTTTGCAGCCAGTAAAAAGCCCTGTGACTATATGTGGTGATATCCATGGACAATTCCATGATCTCGCCGAGCTTTTTAGGATTGGCGGACAGGTAATTGCTAATTTCTTCTTGGTGTAGACACTTTTATTACTAATTTTCTTTGGATGATGGATAAAGGCATTTGTTTATGTAGGTATAAGAAAAAAATGTTGGAATAAAAAGGAAAAGATTATGTCTAATTTTTTTATATAACCGTGGTGTCCGGGCCAGCTTGCACACAGAAAGGTAAAAACTAATTTGAGTGTCAAGATGCAATTAGTTCATCTTAAGAATAGAAATCTCTCTTACCAAACACTGTTAAATTGGAGGTGGCAAGTGGTTAATTTACAGCATTACAGCATATATGTTTGCATTGTTAAATGGCTGTCTTCTTATGTTTGTACCATGAGATTTTCTTCTATGATATGATAATAAAACGTGATGGATATTAGACATTTATAGGTTTACCTTTCTAGTACGAATCTAGCTTGCAATAGCAACACGTGCTGTTTGATTACTGTATCAATTTCATTTCAAGCCCATTTGTACTTATTAGTGGCTTGACTTTGCTGGCCACTGCGTTTATGCATGGGAAATTACAGAGACGTACCGTCGTTTGTTTTCTTTTATTATGGAGACCGAAATAGTCGTGGATAACTAGATTATAAGATCCTTCTGGATGAGTTTAGAGAATCTTATTCTCTCTCCTTTTCTTAATTGAAGAAATAATTGGAAAATAAGAAGGTAAGTGCATGTAAAAATCACCCATCTGAACGGTGTCAAACTTTAGGCACTTAGTTGCATAATTGGGCTTGTTTTCTTTGAAAACTAAGGGAAGTTAGAAAAAGCAAAGCAAAGTGGAGGGGGATTCCCAATTGAGTTCCCATCTGCCTAAACCTTGGTGGGTTTATTGGTGCGAGGTAACAGGTGGGCACAAGCTAGTCTGAACACCACTGCTATTAAAAGAAAAGGTAAGGGGGGGAGGGGGGGAATGTGAAGGAAAGTTTTTTTCTTTCATTTGTTTGGTTGAGTGGAAATAAGTAGACACAAATATATGATAAGCTTCACCTTTGTTGAAATAATTAATGTGAGCCCAAGAGGAAAAGAAAGGTTTTATCTTTTTCTCTCTCTCCGTGGATATATAAAGCTAACTAGGTAAAATAAAAACTTGTGACTTTCCATTGACTAGTTTCTGAACATAGTCATCATTCTCATAGAGGGATTATATCCATGTAATTTTCATGATACCTTTATTATGTCTAATGCATTTATTACGTATCTGATCATGTTCTTATTTCAGTTTAATTTTCTTATTGGCAGTGTCCAGATACAAATTATCTGTTTATGGGCGATTACGTCGACCGTGGATACTATTCAGTTGAAACTGTTACCGTAAGTAAATAAAGAATGTCTTAATCTGTTGCATTTGTTGCATATAATTTCACGTGAGATTCCAAATGTAGTAATAGTCTCTCCATATAAATATATATGGGGAGATTGCTGTATTTATTCATTTGAATTGGTGATGGTAAAGGATTCTGCCGGAATCATGTAATGTTGAGATTTTCCTTTACATAAGTTTTTGACCAGTTGTTGAGTACTCATGTAGGGTATAGTAAGCAGGTAAAAATTAAAAAACAAAAACAGAATAATACCTTCACATGCTTTTTTTCCTTCTTTTAGTTAAGTTCAAAACAAACTATCTTGTCTTCACTCATTTCAATTACTACTATACTAAATAATCCCTAGCTCCCTTCAATGTGATCATCTATCCGAACTTCCATTATCTCAATGCTGGCCGAGGGATGCTGAATAAAATTTGATGTGGAATATGTCATATGATTGTTCTCTGTCTTCTCGATTTTAAAAGGGCAGCCCGGTGCACAAGGCATCCCGCGTTCATGCAGGGTCCGAGGAAGGGCTGCTTCCAAGGGGTGTGATGTAGACAACCTACCATAATGCAAGCATTAATGGCTGCTTCATTGGCTCGAACACGTGACCTATAGGTCTTCTTGATTTTATCTCTTAAAACATACGAGGGCTTTCCACCTTTTCATTGTCTATAATAGCGTCTGATTTATTAGGTCAAGACCTGCATTTATCTGAATAACTTTTGGCTTAAAATCTGAGTAGCTGAAGAGTTCATGTAAACTTGATTTTACAGCTATTGGTAGCTCTGAAAGTACGTTATCCTCAGCGATTAACAATTCTCAGAGGAAATCATGAAAGCCGACAGGTATCAATGAGATTATTTTTCGAGATCTCTTGCTTAGTTTAATATTGTTGGGCCAATTGTTTCATTTTGCTTTCTGGTTTAATCATCCTTTTCACTGGAGTTGAAACAGATTTCTGGTTAGAATTAGTTTAAATAGTTTATCTTACAGCCTTACATATAGGTTCATCTTCCATTCTAGCTAATACTGGTGCATTGATGGTTTCCTCATGATCTTTTATAATAGATCTTCTCATTCATTCCATTTTTCGTTGTGATTTTCTTTTTCCCCTCTTTGCTCCAATCTTTTTATATAAGTTCTCCCCTCCTTGGGATTGGGGGTTGATGGCTGTGGACAGGAATGGCCATGTACAGGACATTTACTTTGACAATTGATTTTTTTTTTTAGTAGCACCTGGTTAAAGCTATTCTCACAAGATCTTTGTTACACTCCATATATCTGTATCCAATGAATATCTTCTAGCATAATTTTCTGGTAGAATTTCTGCTAGGTGCTTTGACTTCCAACCTTGATTTGGGATTGAGGCATACTAGATTGATTGCTTGAGTTCCAACCCTGGCCCAGCATTTCTGAGCTTTCATTTACCTTGATTTTCAAAGTGTTATTTGCTAACTCTGGCCCAGTTTACCTGTTTTTGGATTACATTTTGGTGTCAATTTCCTCCATTTTCAAGGAGTACTTGGTCACTGGCAAACTGATGGGAGGAAGATGTCATAGCTTTCTGTTGACTGAGGATATAGTGAAAATTTAACGAGGAACTTTTTTCTCTCTGGCTCTTTTAAAGTAAGCTAAACTTTTGCTGAATGCCATTTTCTGAATGTTACATCCTTAATGCAGATCACACAAGTCTATGGGTTCTATGATGAATGCTTGCGGAAGTGAGTTCTTTAGACTATGGTGCTATATCCAGTCCCAAGTAAATTCTATCTTGCTGTTAATGTTGCTTAATGTTTGGTAAAACTTAGCTGACTTCATTCCGAAGATAAGCATGTGAACACCAGACCATGTAAAGGTCAGGTGTTCTACACTTCTCTTATTTGTTGAGCACAGGACATCTATATATAGAATTTATCGCCGAGAGAAAAATCTGGAAACTAAAAGCACCTACTGGGAAAAAGGGGAAGACAAAATCTGAAATAGTAATAATAAGTAAAAAAAGAGTTCATGACTCGTAACAAGGCTTCTTTACCATATACCAAGTTTAGTGTTTGCTGTTGCATTATGTCTCATACATTGATTTTTCTCTTATAACAGTTTTTATGCATTAAGAAATATTATATATATTTGTCAAATGCTGGTTGAGTACTCATAAGCCTATTTGATAAAGCTGCAAGCTAAATACTGCTCCTAAAGTTAGGAGTGGCTTCCAGTTTATCCTCACTAGTTCATTTAATTGTTCATTCCTTTTTTATGAATTTGCTGTGTCAAATTCTTAGCTTTTATAAGAAGGCCAGGCTATACCCTCCTTTCAAACTGTAACTTTTACATCTACAAGTGGTAATGAGAACTTGGAATTTTAAAAAAAAGAAATTCATTCTTGTGTGCTAAAGTTATATGTGGAAGGTTTTTATAATTGTTACCCTTTCATGATATTTGGGGGTGTGGAGTGGGGAATGGAATTAATGCCCATAAGGAGGCAGATCTATAAAAATTGCTTTCGGGGGGCGAGAAATATTGTGTTGTTTGACTTTTTTGTCCTTGCTCTTTTATACCTGTTTAATACTTCTTTATCTGTTAGGATTTATTCTGATTTAATTTTAGCTAGCTGCATATATTTTGCCTGCACACAGATATGAGAGCTTATACTTAGATATAGAGCTGATTTCTGTGGCTCTGGTTGATGGTGTGGTCATTTGTGTATTCTCTTCCTCTTATATACATCTGATGCTGATATGTAAAGCATTTTGTTTTCTTGACAGGTACGGCAATGCTAATGTCTGGAAAACATTTACTGATCTATTTGATTATTTACCTTTGACAGCATTGGTTAGTTAATCATCACTCTTGAAACTTTATCCAAAAATAAAGAAAGACAATCATCACTCTTGCTTAATCTTTACATTCTTTTACACCATCTTATCTTAACAGCAATGTGTAGCCTGCTATAACATTACCTTGTATCCGAGCTCATAGTTTAAGCTTTTTACATTGTCTTATAAACTTTTCCTAAAACTATTAAATCTACACAGTAGCTGCTTAAAGATGTCCCTTAATTCCTGTTGTCTAAAGTGTTAGTTTCTTGTTTGTTGATGGAAGCTATCAGGCACTGCTTCATGTTCTCCTGCTTAATGAGCTGCTTCACTTTTCTTACTCATACATTCTTCAGTAACTTGTAAATGCCAAACAAATAAAACAGAGAGCTTCATGGAAAGCAATAGAAAATTATTGTACCAACTTAGATCAGATAATGCTAGGCAGTTGCAGCCCCAAACCTAGACTTTTCAAGCCAGACAATCTAGAAAATTGGGATATGTGGGGNTTTGGAAGATGGACTAAGAGCTTGTTCCTCTTAGCATTCCTTCTTTCTCTTCTTACGACACTGTTTATCCAAATCTCTATTACGAGGGGGAATGTCTGCATTTAAGAGGTTCCACTATTTGCAGGACGGAAATAAACCTTCAACAGGGTGCTACTGCTTTGCGGTTCACATTAATTTCATAGGAATTTAATGCAAGTTAGAATTTCCTCATTTCTTTAGGAAAGAATAGCAGAGGATTTATTAAGGGCATGCATTCTTAGAATTAATTTTGGAAAAATGCCTTCTTCTTGTTAGCTCAACATCTGCATTCCAATATCAGAAGCCATGGCTAGGTTGAATACTTCGCTGTAGATTAATCGTCTGTACCAAGTTTTCCTACATTCTATCCGGCAAGTGCAGTTGCTTCAGATTGGCTTCTGTGGTTTTGGAAGATACAACTGCCTGTTGATGACCCATTTGATATATTTATGACTGCACTTGGACATTTACCATGATAAATCTCTCTTGTAAGTGGAAGAATTCGCTTTCGTTTACTCGTGTTGCCAATGTCAAATTCTAGGTTGAATCCGAAATTTTTTGTTTGCATGGAGGATTATCTCCATCTATTGAAACCCTTGATAATGTAAGAAGTTTTGACCGTGTCCAAGAAGTCCCCCATGAAGGGGCCATGTGCGATCTTTTGTGGTCAGACCCAGATGATCGTTGTGGTTGGGGGATGTCACCCCGCGGTGCTGGATACACTTTTGGGCAGGTATTTTTACTGTATACTTGAGGGTTCTTATTTCCATCCTCTATTCTTGAGGATTTCTTTTCAGATTTTCATCTCGCAAACAAATAAATGCCGCACCTGCCTGTAATACAGGACATCTCTGAGCAATTTCACCATACCAACAATCTAAAGCTGATAGCTCGAGCTCATCAGCTGGTCATGGAGGGATATAACTGGAGCCATGTAACTTAAATTACTTCCTCCTTTTTATACATCTTACGATACCATTCCTTTGAAAGTCCCTTGAGATTGTAACATCTGCCACAGGAACAAAAGGTTGTCACTATTTTTAGTGCACCAAATTATTGTTATCGATGTGGAAACATGGCCTCTATTTTGGAGGTTGACGACTGCAGAGGGCACACGTTTATCCAGGTGCTTATCCGTCTTTCTCCTTTGAGAAATGCCTTTTGTTATAATCTAACTTTGAGTCTTATATTCCCAGAATTAAGCCTTAAATCTACTGACATCTCGCTGCAATTTTTGAATGTAACTGTGAAATGTAAGGTCTAATGTGGTCAATTAATTACAAACCATGTCATTGCAGTTTGATCCAGCTCCAAGAAGGGGAGAACCGGATGTAACACGACGAACCCCTGATTACTTCTTATAAAATGGAGAACCATTTCCGTTGTCTACCAATAGCTGGTTTTGCTATATTTTCCATCTGCTGTCGAGATATGAGCATAATTATGGCAAAGCTATCTACTCTTGGGAGGTAATCCATGGACTAAGAAGCTTGTAATATGCTAGGCCAGGTCCCCTTGGTTTAAGTCATATTCTAACCTATGTTAGGAATATTAGAGTGGGGAAATGCAGCCAGCAAAGCTGTATTGTATCATTTCATGGAGACTTCTTTTCGGTTGTTCCATTCATGTTTTGATCTTCAGTCTTAGTGTGATATTTCTCTCAAAGTTGTCATATGTTGTTGCAAGGAAGTATGTTGTGTAAAGTCAAAAATCCACTTTACAGTGTAACTTTTACCTTGTTAATGCAGCTGATCCTTTCTTGTGAAATTGGTTTCTTTTCTTTGTGATGATCAGCACTTGATGTAGTTAGACCATCTAGATGATTATAGTTGTAGACTTCATCCGGAGGATGCAAATTCAGTTGATTTGATGAAGACATGGTCTTCCATAATAGCTGGGGGGTTGTTGCTATAGTTTGCCCTAATCATTGAGTATGCAATTCTGAAATCATTGATATTGATCAATAAGTTCAGTACAGTATGGATCATGCTTTGTTACTTTAGAAGCTATTTAGTGATATAAATTTCAGACACTGAACGGAAGTCTAGTTGTTGATTGAGAATATTCAAAAATTTAATGGTGCGACCCTCTATATGCAGGTCCTAGCAGGTACTATTGGAATAGTCATCAAAAAAGAAGTGCCACTGTTTTGTTAAAATAGCCCCGCGCCAGACTTTTGAATCAATAGGAATTCTGGCAACGTGCTTCAAAAGTCTGGCGTGGGGTTACTTTCCCCACTTTTCTTTACGGGGGCAAAATTTAAACGGTGGCACCAAACAATCCTTTTTGTGCAATTGCCCGATAGTCATTACTAGTTTTGCATCCTATTATAAAAAAATTACTGAGTTATTTGTTCATTCTTTTGAATTGTTAAAAATTGGTTGGAGGTGAATGTGCGAACATTATTACATTAATGAAAGAGTTCTGATTTCTTTCTAATAAAAGCTGAACCAAATCAGAACACGCCTATTTGACGGGATAGACAAACCAAACTTGCTATGCTGCAAGTTACTAGCAGTTATTTTATTAAGAAGATGACATTGCACACTAATGAGAGGATTTAGTAATTCAGCTTCAACATAGAACTGAGGCCGCCATCTACAGCCAAATTATGACCGCTAATGTAAGCGGATTCATCTGACGCCAAGAAAAGTGCTGCTTGTGCTATATGTTCCGTGCTCAACGTAACACCTTTCAAGTGACCATTTCCAGATATTCCAGCTTCCAACGAAGCGGCATCATCGCAGCCGTAGGCTTTGCATACGAGTGGCGTCGCAATGCCATAAGGCGACACGCCGTTCACCCTGACACCGTGCAGTCCTAGCTCGCGCGCCGCCGCTTTCACAATGCCTACGACTGCGTGCTTCGACGCTACGTAGGCCAACGAGGCTGCCCCAGCAAGAATAGACTCAATGCTCGCGTTGCATATGATGGAGCCTCTAACTTGTTTAGCAACCATGACTCGAGCTGCATGCTTGACGGCTAATGCCGTACCTCGCACGTTGACGGCCATTGTTTTGTCAAAGGCCGTCATATCCATGTCGAGAACGCTGCAGAAGTTCAGCGTTCCGACATTGCTAAACATGATGTCGAGAGTGCCGTATTTTTCAACAGCGTAGGCGACAGTTTCCTCGACTTGTTTCTCGTCAGTGACGTCGCAGTGGCGGTAGCTGGCCTTGTCTGTTCCAATGGACGCCACTACTTGGAGACCAAGTTCGTCTTGAATATCGGCAATTACCACGCGAGCCCCATGTTCCACAAACAATCTTGCAGTTGCTTCACCTATACCACTTGCTGCACCCGTAATTACAGCCACTTTGCCCTCCAATCTAGTGCAATAAAATGAATAAACCAAATATTACTACTAAGTTTTAATTTTGTGATGCATGCACATTTTACACTTCAAATTTGTACCAAGCTAAATAATTTGCATCTTTTCCAAATGCATGTATAAAGTAAAATGGAGTAGACATGTACGCTAGAGACGTCCTGCTGATGGTGATAGGATGTTATTAACTGATTAAACGACACAGATTTGAGACAGCTAGCTAATTCAAATGAGCAAGAGACCAAAGACAAAAAGAAATTAAAAGGACAATTGGCACTATGTATATAATTACCTGAGCTTATTTGCCATTGCGAGTACAAGATGAACTTCCTTGTTGCAACAACTGGTTAAATTACTTGGTTTTTATAGAGGCGTCTGCTGGCTGAGATTCCCCTCCAGCTACAGGACAATAACGTCTCCTCTGCATCCACAAATATATATTAATCCGGTTGCCGAATTGAACTGTTGTATTCAGTGCTTTTTTCTTTTCTTTTTTTGGGGGAAGTTCTCCATTTAATTTTGTTGCTTCCTCAAAACTAACACGGCGGGTAATGGGCATTCATGAAATTAAGTATGCAGATATANTTCTCTTCAACCACAATGCAGAAACACTCTTACATTCAATAATACTATATACTCCCTCCGTTTCAAAAAAAAAAAAAAAACTTTCATTTTTTGCGAATTCAAATAAGGTTTTCTTTGATTATGATTTTTGCAAATAGTTTTTAAGCTATGGTAACCTATAGTGCTTCTCAAAAGATGTCAATTTTATTTTAAAAAATTAAAAGAATCTATGTGAATTCACACCAAAAATTAGTTAATTTAACTCTAGTATTCAAACAAATTGGAACAAATGGAGTATTAAATACTGAGGCAACAGATGTCGTTTATGGCATCGATATTGACTAGTTCGGCTAGATTTTTACAAACACTAAACAACATAGGTCTTAATACATGGACCCCTTCTTTGTCCGCCAGCATCCTAGACTCAACAAAGGTGGGGGAACAGCAAAACGTAACAATTTATTCATTAAATGTATTTTATTTTTGAATTCATGAACTTTCTTTACTGTCTCTCGTTAATCAATATTTTGGACACTGCCATTCAAATATTTCTGTCACCACATTTATATTCATCGCAGTTTTGGGCATGTGAAGTGAAAAAACTTAAATGCCACAGTAAGAAGGTGTGAGCGATAAATTTTGGTGGGTATGAGAAGAGGTAGAGGGAGACCAAAGAAGTGTTGGGAAGAGGTGATCAGGTAGAACATGATGCGACTTCAACTTACCAAGGACATGACCCTTGATAGGAGGGTGTGAAGGTCGAGAATTAGGATAGAAGCTTAGTCCAACGTATTTCTATTCCGTACGGGGGTATCATGATTAGTCTGGTAGTGTCTTGTTCTAAGATTGCTAGTGTTACATGTTGTTTTCCTACGATCTGCTTCAGTTACTAGTATCTTGTTGTTGTTACTGCTCGTTGTTATTACTTCCTTCCATCTATTTTCCTGGCTTTTAGATTAATTGCTATTGTTATCTTTCTGGCTTTTGTTGTTGATATTGCTTGTTTCTATTATTTCTTTTCATCTTTCTTGAGTCGAGACGTGCATTTCGGCGAAGCTATAGAATACAAATTATCGAGAAGCTTTTAAGCAACTGTATAATATAACTGGGAATAGACTATGAACAATAAAAAAAGAGGAAAACACATTAAACCTAATGTATTTCGTAACATGGAAAAACTAAATAAAGACATACGTAGATGTGTAGGAGTAATACATAGGTTCTCAGCATTACTATTCCAGGTATTTGTTATTCCTAGCAATGCGTAGATGTTAGTAAAGATTAATGTTTTGCTATATATGCAGCAAATTTGCTTATAATTTATGTTATACTCGATCTCTTTCGCCTATGCACATAATCAATCTGGTAAAATATTTCTAAATACTTATTGTTACTTTAAAAATCCTGTTTTATTTCTCTTGATGCAAGAGGTGTCAATGTTAGCCTATGCTCAACTCGTCTAAAGTTAGATAGGTTATTATTTGAATGGGATACGGGTAATTATGGACGGTTCAAAATGGGCTAAACTCAAGATGGATTGCCAAAGATTGGGCTAAAAGAGTGAAACCCAATCAATATTTTCTTTTGAGAAGAATTAACCTAAATAGCTTCTCACCCAACTGCTTAATCTAAAAATAGTCGGCTGATGTATAATATAAGTATAATCTATATGTAATATGTGTATAGTTATATATAATCAATATATAATTTATGTATACTGGCTAGAAAAAATAGATAGTGAATCTAACCGGCTATTCATGCAAAAATCCCTTAATTTGAACAAAACTAGTTAGTACTAATTTTCGACATAATGTATAAACAATAAAGAATGGTGATGTTACTATGCTTTTTCTGTCCCGAAAGTCTATCGAAAATAGTCTCTCTAGCGTAGGAATAAGGCTGCGTATACACTTCCTCCCCAGACTCCACTTCTGGATTACACTGAATTTTTTGTTGTTGTTGTCGTAGTAGTATCAAAAATAAAGAATGGAATAACTGGATAGAGAGAAAAAAATTGACCCGATCATAGGTGATCCAACTCAAATCTACTTTTACTTGGCAGTCTAAATTTCGCTAATGGTGTCAAGAAATTTTTACCCTATTAATGTAGTTTAACCTTTAATAATAAGTTAGTTATCAATTTATTAAATTATTAATTAATGCTCATGGTTAAAATTACCTATAATTATTTTATAAGTGACATGATTATATAAATCTTGTTTAAAATTTATGGAACTTATGTAAGACGTTCTTTCAAGAAAATTAAGGAGCATGAGAAGGAAAAGCAATTACTAAAGGCTCAACGAGAGAGCAGTGCCCATTTAGAATGAAATGTTCTTACAATACATGTATTACTTTACTACCATGAAATCAATTTATAAACTATGATGAATAACTAATTGATATGAACCTTCGTTGTTTCTATTCAATTTGTTTTATAATGGCATCGAAGAAAATATTAAACTTTTCGAGAAAATGGTAAAATTGTAGTTTAGAAACTAAAAAGAAAATTATATAGCTATAGATCATAGAATCGTATAGGGTTAAGAGATATGGACGGACTTTTTTGAGCACATGGGAATCATCAATATATTTAACTATTGCTAGCCTTTTTCAGATAATTAAGCTGTCTGGATATAAATTTTGGCAACCTTTTAAATAAAAAAAATAAAAAACATTGTTTGTTCATGGAAATTAACCAGATTTTTGAAAAACAATTGAATTTTTCTTTTCTAGTTCCAAAAACTGGCCCTTCCACTCATAAAACTTCACAATTTTTCAAGTAAAATGCATGTTCAAACACAACTTCAACTTCCAAAAATTATTTTTAAACACAACTTCAAAAATTCTTTTTTTGAGTTTCAACCAAATCTATGTCCAAATGCTAGCTAAATATTTTTGGTTTATTTTCCTTCAAATTTGGTGAAAATAACACGGGTTAGCTAGTTTTCGGACTGGTAAAAAATAATCATCGTTTGCAAAGTCATTGAAAAATAGCTACTATTTTGCCGAAACACGAAAATTTACAGCATAATATGCTGGATTATGGAGCTCATGCGTATAAACTTCCAGCATATTATGTTGGAACTCCAGTACACGAAAAGCTCCAACACAATATGCTGGATTATGGAGCTCATGCGTATAAACTTCCAGCATATTATGTTGGAACTCCAGTACACGAAAAGCTCCAACACAATATGCTGGATTATGGAGTTGATGCGTATAAACTTCCAGCATATTATGTTGGAACTCCAGCACATTATGCTGGAATCTCATATGTAAAAATTTCGAACTCCAGCATATTATGCTGAAATTTTTCCGAATTTTTAAGGGTATTTTTGTTCAGATTTTATCTTTACTTAAAAAAGTGGATGAATTTCAATTACTTTTAAAACCGTGACTATTTTTAAATTACCAGTTGTAAATCTGATTTCTAGAAAGATGGTCTATGATTGAAGAAAGTGTCCTCAAGCAAAAAATTCAGGACTATGTGGATCAAGTTAGGCGACTCAAATACAAAGTACTTTGCAGCAGTAGTGAAGGAAAGGAATCATAGAAAGCATATAGTGGAACTTACCTGCTTGACATGTATCAAGTTAACTGATCCAGATGACATCAAGGAGAAGATTATACAATTTTATAAAGGTCTGATGGGGTCGTCTGCCCCAAGCTTACCGGCAGTTAATAAAGTTACAATGCCGAGAGGACCAATGCTAACACAAGCACAAAAAGTTGAACTATGTGCACCAGTCTTTGAGCTAGAAATATATGAGGGACTGACCTCTATTGGAGATGATAAAGCCCCGGGTATTGATTGTTTTAATGCATACATTTCTTTAAGAAAACATGGTATATCATTAAAGAGGAAGTGATAGCAGCTGTTAAAGAGTTCTTTAGCATTGGGAAGATTTTCAGAGCTTGTAATTGTACCTCAATCACATTAGTTCCCAAAAATGCAAATCCTACTACAATCAAAGAGTATAGGCCAATTGCTTGTTGTACAGTGCTATACAAGTTGATCCTAGCCTCAAGAATGCAAAAAGTTATAGCCACTATCATCTGTGATGCTCAGGCAGGATTTATCCCGGAAAGAAAAATTGCAGATAACATTATATTAGGGGTGAATGCTTTTATATTTGTTGAATAATTTTTAATATATTTAACTTATATTAAAAGAATTAAGTACTTTTAAATTTTATTTTCATATTTTACTTAAATAAAATGAAAAGATTTAATTATTGCCTGTAATAACAAATTTTTAAGATTATTTATTTACTTATAATATTAACTATTAAGTAAATCTATTAATGTCCTTATTCGTAATTTGATACTTAAAAGTATTTTCTGAAAACTTTGACCAAACACAAATTATTGCTCAAAAGTGCTTTTCAGAGTGATTAGCCAGACACAAACTGCTTCTCTCCGAAAGTACTTTTTTCAAAAGAACTTTTAAAAAAAGTACTTCTCAAAATTAAGCTTGGCATAAAGCTGATTGATTCATACTGTCGAAGCTATATCTGTTCGGGAACAAGTGTTATCACCTAAAAAGCTCTAGTTGCCTGGGAAAGAATGTGTACTCCAAAGTCAATGGGAGGACTAAATTTGATCAACTTGCACATTTGGAAAAAGGGTGCTGTAGCAATGACCTATTGGGATCTTGCTCATAAGCAAGATAAATTACGGGTCTGATGGATTCACTCCTATTACGTCAAAGAGCAACAACTGACTGAGATGTTAGTGCCAAATCAAGCATGTTGGATAGTCAGACAAATCATTGATGCTAGGAGAATACTAGAGCAAGTTCAGTGTAATCCTACTCCTAAAAGAAGCTTAATAAGGAGCATATATCTTCAACCGCTGCACCAATATCCAAGAGTTCCATGGAAAAGTCTAGTCTTCCAGAATGCTGCTAGACCAAAGGCAAGATTCACTATGTGGCTCC